CCTCCATGTACTTTCCTCTTTGCCAAAGCACAAGGACCTGGAAACTGGTGGTAATGAAGTGATGACAAGAACACCACTGGAATAAGGGAAATTTACTGATCAAGATATCCATTTTAGTAAATTGGTGGAGCCACTAAGGGAAACAGTATGTAGATTCCTCAAAAAACTGAAAGTAGAACTACCATATGACCTAACAATCCCATTTCTGGGTATCTAGTCAAAGGAAATGAATTTGCTATCTTGAAGAGATATGTCTGTACCCCATGTTCATTGCAGAGCTATTCACAATAGCCAAGACATAGAAACAACCTAAGTGTCCATTGATGGATGAATGGGTAAAGAAAATGTCACACACACACACACACACACACACACACACACACACACAGAATATTACTCAGACATCAAACAGAAGGAAATCCTGCCATTTGCAACAACATAGATGAATCTTGGGGGCATTATGCTAAGTGAAGTAAGTCACACAGAGAAAGACAAATACTGTATGATATCACTTATGTGTGGAATCTAAAAAGCTGAACTCATAGAAATAGAGAATAGAATAGTGGTTGCCAGGGGCCAGGGGGGGTGAGGGAAAAGGAGAGATGTTGGTCAAAGAGTACAAACTTCCAGTTATAAATTGAATAAGTTATAGCAATCTAATGTACAGCATAGTGATTATAATTAACAATACTGTATTATATACTTGAAAGTTACTAACAGAGTAATTCTTAAATGTTCTCAGCACAAAAAGAGAAACAGTCATTATGTGATGATATAATGCAGAGGTTAGCTAACAATACATTGGCAATAGTTCTGTAATAAGTGTATATAAATCAACATGTATACCTTAAACTTATACAATGTTATATGTTAACTATAACTCAATAAAACTAGGGAGTAATGAAGTTAAAAAACATTCTTTCCTTACAATTTTAAATTACTAAAAAGTGTTCTTATCCAATCACCAAAGGCACAAGCAAGTCAGGAAAATGGTTCTACATGGCAATATTCAAGCTCTACTACAAATGAAATTCCTTCATTTCTAGAAAGTTCTCTCATGAATTGCTGGGTGGGGTGTGTAGGATAAAGGTGGGAAAGGATTCATTTCATTTTTATTTGTTTTGCTTTTTGTGCCTTCCTCTTCTATGATTTCATCTAAAAAGAATAAAAAGTACTACAGGTGGTAGAACTGCTTCTGAATATACGATATTACGGTTAGGAAATAATCAAACTCTTAAAAATAAATAGTGCACTCAAGCTGCTGAAATGTAGGACACAGCTGGGACCGATATTCCAAAAAGCATGATGATCGTCCGAAGTAGAACCAGTTAAAAAATTGTGATTCAAAACTGCTGACTGAACTTTCTGAATCATTCACAAAGTCATTTGGACTATTCTTTTTATTCCTGGGATGAAAAGTCCTAGGAATAAGCAATATCTTAAAACCTACATGATTATTCCATTAGTGAAATGTAATAAAGAAAGTCAAGACAGGAATTAAAAGTTTAAGAAAATCTGGCAGCCTGAATTTCCTAACTCATTTTTTCCTGTGAGAAAACTATATCCTATAAAACACCGTCATTAACAGTTCTAAATGTAGACTGTGAAGGAATGCTTATCTGACTCTTGGCTTAGCGCTATATCTAAGTGGAAGTAAAGTCTCAGCACAAGCTTAACCAACAAGAAAATACATCCTGAGGGAGGCACACATAGCTTAGAAAGTTAAACTAATGCGTAAGAAGTGTATCTGATATTTTTCATTTTAAAAATTGATCATTTATACTTTTATTAATATGCTGAAAATAGTTGTCATAAGTAACACTGATGTGGCACTTAGAAGTTTACTAAATACGTTTCCACATACAATGCCACATTTACTTGTCACAGTAATCCTACTGGTATTTTTAATACTCAAGTAACAGACAGATAAGGATTGAGCCTCTAAGAGCCTTTGTAACTTTGCAAAATTAAACTTTGCAAAAAAAAAAAAATCCAAAACTGTGGCTATGCTTTTAGAAGCAAAGGAAGGTAACCAGTGCTATGAGCTTCTGCAATAATAATATTCTATTGTTATACAGTACATTACATACAAAACATTAAAATATTCTTTCACAACCATTCTCATCATGCTGCTGATATTCATTAATACAGTAAAATACCAGGACATTTATCGTTATTTTCATTTTACAGACATAGAGACTGAGGCTTAGAAAAATTTGATGACCTTAGCATAATCTAAATGACCAAGATTAATTCACTAAGCCTTTCTGCTTCTTGAAATTGGAAATTGGAGGGACATAATTTTGGCTAGTGACTAATACAATGGGAAATTATAGCACCTGCATACGTTATATAATTAAATTGAATAATTATTTTTAAATTAAATGAAAGCTCCTCCTCCACTAGTGTAGTGTTGAGCTCCACAAAAGAAGGGAACTATACAAATCTAAAACATTTAGCTTTTTGTGGGGTTGTGTATGGGGCGGAGGGGTGGGGTGAAGGGACATTTGTTTCATTTGTTTTGTTCTGTTTTCTTTAAAACATGCTCAAGATGGGAAAGCAACTTTTTTAAAAAACACCAATTAGAAATAATTAAATTTGGGGGCAAAAGCAAGCAATAAGATTAGTCCATTATATATTATATAACACTGGAAAAAATGTCTTAGAGAAGAGCAAGCCTTTCCAAAAGCAAAATCCACCAAATAAAACACTGGAAAATGTAATTCAATCAAAAATAATATTTTTTTCAATTTGAATTTATGTCATTGCTTTAGTAGGTAGTGTTAATAGTTTCCAAATGCCAATGTGTGTTCATGAACAGTTTGCAAGTTCATGATGTAATACATTCCTTTTTGGATACATCTTATGTCAAATCCATCTGTCTAAGGCAGATATGCATAGTTTTACAGAATCTTATCTGCAAAAGAACTTCCACAGATAAAAATGGCTTTACAAAATAAAGAGGAGTAGAGAGAAGGAAGATGTTATTGCCGTTTTGGAGATATTTTCTTCTCCCACAGTGCCTCTGTCCTCTGGGCACCTGGCACTCCTTCACTCTTGCTTTTCTTAATATCCTTCCCATTCACAAGAAAGATTTGACCCTGGCATCTCAGGGAGAACTAAAAAAATGAAGGTCCTGGACTAAGCACCAATGCAAGAAGTTAATATTCTTAGTATACATTCACCAGAATTTCTTTTAACCCTACACACTTGACTCAAAACACCTGAATTGTATGGGCAGCTTGTTAAAGTTTGATAATTAAGCATATGTCATTTTTATTTGATTCACCTCCATGAGAGCCCAAGCAAGTTAATATAAACAATGAAGACAGGAAAAGGTACAAGGGAAGGGAACTGAAAAAAAACTATACAAATTCTATGACACGAAGAGGAGCCAGGTGAGTGGTCAGAAGCTAGTTCAGATAAAGTAGCTACCACCCTTTCCACTTCTTACTCTAGACGGGCCCCAGGCCACCTTGAGGGATGAGATTATGTGTCTTTTATAGATGCACCACTTTCTTCCACTAAATCAGTTGGGGATGCAGAATGAGTGAATCAACTATTACTATTTTGTCTACGGCTATGGAAACTCAATAAATGAACTCGCTTTTCTATCTCAATTAAAGAACTCATGCTGCTTCTTCATAAAGCAAATGTGTATCTCAAAAAATGTTTCTCAAAGAATATATTAGAATTACTTTTCTTTAAAAAGTAATACACATTTGGTTGATACAGAAAGGAATTCTATGTTGATTATTTTTCTTTTCTTTTATGATCTCATCCACTGGTGTGACCTAAAAGGGGTCATATTTCAGAAAGCGAAATATTTTTAACAACATTAAAAATGCTGTTAACAACAAACCTTTGCATTTCCAGTATGATCTAAGCATAAAAGTTTTGCAAAAACACAACTTACATTTCTCTCAACCAAAAGTAAACTGCTTTTGAGTATATAAATAATATTTTATAGGAATTGGCAAGTAATTACAATAGCTGTTAAAGTTTATATTTGCCACAAAGACCCATGATTTTAAAAAGCTGTTCTAAGGATTTATGCATGAGACTTATACATAGCACAAATATATATACAGTTATATCTATATGAAAAAGAGGAAAAATTAGACCAAAAGCAAACTGGAACATAACCCAAAATTACTAGAAATTACCTTGTGTTGTGCTATATTAAGAAAAGTATAAAAATTATTTGGGAGGCAGAAAAACTATTTCTAAGCGGTAAATTTATAGGCAAGAGCCCTATTTTTTTTTTTTTCTTAATGCTAGGCTGGGAGAAATCAATCATGTTTTTCAAGTAAAAAGTAAACTGCTTAGACTAACCAGTCCATACTCAGTATTAATTCTATCCTGCAGTGTATGCTACAGAAGGTAATAAAACGCTGATGTTTTCTAGTTTCTCCTTTTAGCCTGCTCCAGCTTTGTCTTAAACCTTGTTAGCAGTTCAAATCACCCCCAACAATTACACAAACTTAACAACAGCTTCCCTGGAATAATTTGATCTACTCCAACCACAAATTCCAATCCACATACTTTCTTCTGTTATGGTTGTGTCTGTGTGTGTTTAATACACTTCTTATAAGGCTTTTAAAAACAAGTGAGTGGTTTCTCATTCAGCTCTCTACCACGTAAACAGAACCACTGAGGAGCATTTTTATACAGAGAAAAATTTTTTGGTTATCTATAGAGTATGTCTTAGCACAGCTTAAGATGACAGTGAAGAAAAGTAGTATTGCCATCACTTTACATTTTTCATTCTTCGGCGTTCTAACTGCCGTGTACCTGTGTGTCCCCAAAGAATTGCTTATCGTTTGCTGCTCCCTCCCAGTTTTAGACATTGAGGGTGAGAAATCTTAAAACTTGCCTGATTCAAGTGCTCTCTCAGCCACTGCCGTGATACCAGAAGCCTGTTTTAACCTCCTCATGTTGGACCTTTATCACTTTACTGACCCCATAAAACAAACAGGGCTACAAATGCACAGAAACAGCCGCCTTCTAAATGCAGCTTGATTGTGATTCATGGCAAAAAGCTGGAGTAACCCTGCCAGGTCTTAGAAGCTTTAAGATACATTGCATTGAACTTGATATATATAAAACAGCACCTTGAAAATGAATCATCTGCTAATTCAGTATTTTCTAATTAAAATCACTCCCTCTCAGGTCATGTAATTAATTTACTGAGTTTAAAAAAAAAAAGTCAGGATTACTCACACAGTCTTGAAGATGCAATGTCAGCTATTTAGGATAGAAACATCCAAGGCCGTGTTAGAACTCAATTATGATTACATATGCGTTAAAGCAGGAGCTGGCAGGCCTCTGGACTACGGCAACTATAGGACTCGTGCTTCTCCTACGCTGGGCTATAATTTATGAAACTGAGCCTCAGACCCAGCCAATCACTTAGCTCCTCATAACAAGTCTAACTGGCTCTGGAAAGCTGAAAGGGCTGCACTAGAACAACACAGATGAGATAGTCCACACAATAATCTGCTTATCTGGACTCACTTTCCCTCACAAGGCCAGAGAAAAATCACAGCTTCATTGTCTGAGGACAGGGCAGATGACCTGGGGAAAACACGACTGTACCTGGAGCAAGATCTTTTCTGGCTTGGCGATCCCAACCGTGCCGGCATTAAAGGACCAAGTTACCCCTGGAAACCAAAGGGCAACGACAGCAGCAAAAACCTGAGGTAACCTTCACCTTTTTATTTTTAGCAGGAGTAATGCTGAGCCAAATTATATGCATTAAGTACCTTGGGCAACTACATAGGCTTTAATTTTATTTCACCTGTTTCCACTCTAATCTTTTGTAGGTTCATTTGTTATTAAGCATGAGTAGAGGGAAGTTTATTGTACCTGGAATAAACTTGAAACCAAAATGATCATTTGTGGAGGAAAAAGAGATCATTTTACAGAACAGTTTTAGAGCTACCTTTTCAGAGGAGCAGCCTTTTCAACCACCCACAGACACCAGAATAAAGGGGGCTGAGGCAGGCAGGAGAGAAAAAGGTGCTTACTGGCACAATTAAAGGCTGTTCATATCTTAAAGGAAATAATTCTGCTCAGAGAGTAAATTGGAAAGACAGGTTGTTGTCCAGCTCCTCCGGCCCTTGGCACCCAGGCTATGTAAGAATGTGGGATTGCTGAGGGGGAGAATGACACGAGAAAGTTGACAGAGCCCCTGTGGTCCAGTCTCGGCAATATTTTTTTTACATTTCCCATTACATTTTGAAGTATTAGTTATACCAACCGCTTGTTATACGATACTTCCAAATTTATAGTTATTAAAGAATCTATGAAAAGCATTTTTAAGTCAAAAGAGGTGATAAAATAGAATTTTAAAAAAGCAAAATGGAATTGACATACACGCAACATGAACACCACACCCTTAGATACTTTGTACTTTACCCGGTAACAAATCCTGTCAAATCCTCAGCAAATAGTGTGTTTCTTCAACAAATTTTAAAAGCAAGTGTAACATTAGCAACAACAAAGAAACCTTTGTAATAAACTTTTAAATAACTAAATCAATCACTATGCTTTCGAAGTGACAATAGAGCCTTCACAATATTTAAATCATGTCAGTTTTATATGCTCCCAAAGGAAGAAGCTGGAAGGGAAACTTGCTTTGTTTAGTGATGAAATATAAACAATAGTAACAGAGGAGACATTTATGCACTTTTTGTTTGCTGTACATAATTGACTGAATTCAACTTGAGATTTGACACCAAGAAGGAAAACAGAGCAGTGCACAAGGAACAGAGAAAGCAATCCATCAGCAATTCCCCCAAGATTTGTTCACTGAATTGTCCAATGTGTGACTAGCCAGGGAAGAATATTTCTGCTCTGTTTAAATATTTTTTTTTATTTAATTAAATCTTTGTTTATTTGACAGTGCTCTTGCCTACGGTGACTATGTGAGAACTGAAACTTCTGAGGAAGCCAGGGTGTTAAAACTGTTGTTCACTTTACTCAAAGATAACATGGATAATCTAGTCTGAAATGGAAAACGAGCCCTTAAGGTAATATTGTCATTGAATCCTCAGCACTCAGACCTCCCTGTTTCTCATTCCCTTAATAAAACTCCATTAAAACCCCCTTGAACTCCCGTGTTCAAATCTCCAATTTCAAGAGACAAGGTCAAGAATACTCTAAAGCAGCGGTTCTCAACCTGTGGGTCGCGACCCCTTTGGGGATTGAACGACCCTTTCACAGGGGTCGCCTAAGACCATCGGGAAACAAAAAGATATTTACATTATGATTCATAACAGTAGCAAAATTACAGTTATAGAGTAGCAACGAAAATAATTTTATGGTTGGGGGTCTCCACAACATGAGGAACTGGATTAAGGGGTCGCGGCATTAGGAAGGTTGAGAACCGCTGCTCTAAAGTAAGACATTTAAGTCATTTCACATGTTTTATTGTCCAGAAGTTTTCCATAGGAAGATTGCACCTCCAACAGCTTTGAAGACAACCATCTCAGCACCCAAGACGATGGCCAATAACCATCCAACAAGTCTTTGAGTTAGAAGCTTTCATGGCATCTCCACATTCTCTGTGTTAATATGTAGCTAAGTTACAGATTCACCTCTGGCTCCTTGACCCTTACAAATACTAAAGGCTTTCTTTGACACAACTTCAAGTTATTCATCAGTTAGTAGGTACTATTCACCCCAAAACACATTCATGATGAGAGCTTCCTTAAAGACCAGCACTGTTGTCACCTCCTATAATCATAATAATCGTGATAGCCAGAGACACATTACTGTTATTTGGGAGGGACTTGGATATTTTGTACCAGGAGCTGTCACACTGAAACAAAGGAAGTGATGGCTCAATAAGATGCAATCTGAGCCAATTATGCTGTTTACATTTGTTTTCAATACCATACTGAAAACAATGCAACAGAGGAGGAAACTAAAAAATATGCATACTATATTATAATCTTTTGCCTAAAATTGTTAGTGCAATGCACTAGAGTCTGCTTCTAGTAGACATCATAGTCAGTTTAGCAGGGCTCGTGCTAGCAGATTCTAGCTAGAGACACTACCTCCTGTCATCACCATCAATTAATATTTGTTGTCTATCACATCAGGCACTGCCTAAGAAGCTCATGATATAAAAGGGGCACTCAAACAGTTGAATTCAGTTCTTACTCATTTCCTTGATCTCAACCTCACAAACAAAAATTAAGATAATCCCTATAAAAGGAAAGTAGCTCAAGAATGAAAACCTTTTTCTGAACTAAGAACTGTGGGCAAATCTCAAGTATCACAACAACTATGGTTGACTGAAAAGTGTCCCTAAACTGGGGCCCAGAATGATTTGTAGGCCCATAAGCTAGTTTGTCCAGCCCTGCAGTTTATATACCCAAAGGAGTCGCTCCTGAGAAAACTATAAGAAATAATCAGGTCTACCTTGTTAGTGTGTCACAGATTGACAGGGTATTAACTCCATTCCAGGTGACATGGATAAATAGCCCCATTATTTTTGCAACGCTGGACTCTGCGTAATGAAGCCCTGGATCTCAGGACCAGCTCACTGGTAGGGAACTGCTAACAATTCAAACACTGACACTTGGAGTCAGCCTCATACGGCATAAACCGAAAGAGAAAAATGTCAGTGAGAAGGCCTCGCTTTAACAAAGAAAATAAACTTTGTTTTCATTTAAATAAGAAGGGATGGGTGCTAGAGATGGGAGTCTATGGTCATTGCAAGGATTAAGCTTCTGTTCTTTGTTCAGATAGCAAAAACACTTTATCTGGGCACATCAAACTCAAATTCCATTTTGCTCTTGGCCCATGGAGGGAATTTTGAGTTAATGGTTTCTGTCGTTGTTTTTAATTCAGTCTCTCCTAAGAACATTAATGTATAAAAACATACTAATAATAATGCATTTGACAAGATTCTAAAACATATTATACTTAAAATTAACATAAACCTACAACCTTTTGCACTTATATATAGTCAACACTCTTCTAGGCAATGGGACCTGAACAGAAGGATCAGTTTTTCTGTGACTTTACTCTGTCAAAGTTTCTCAAAAGCCATACAACATACACACAATGTAAACAAAAATGAGCAATTACTTACATTTAGTAAGAAAAAAAATGGGGGGGTGCATTCCTAATATTTGAGACTAAACCCCCTCTTTGCTTCAAGTAGTGTGTAAGTATTATAACATACAGGTTGAGAGCATAAACTCTGAGTAAACTGCCTGGGTTCAAATCCAAGCTCCGATCCTTAACTGTGGCCCTTGGGCAAGTTACTTCATAACAGTATGCCCTCAGTTTCTTCACATGTAAAATAGTGCTACACACAGTAACTACCTCCTGGGGCTGGTGTGAAAAATAAACGAGCAATGTATGCTTAGAACAGAGCCTATTACATGGTGAATAGTCATTAAGAGAAACTATCATCATCACCATCATCAAGCTCATTTCAATAAATTACACAATACCCAAAATGGAGGTGAATTACTGAAGAGCCAGATACAGTGAAATATATCTACTAATATCACATATCTCATTTCAGGTAATACAGTAATACCTTGGTTTGCGAGCATAATTCATTCCAGACACAAACTACTCATATTGCAAGACATTGCTCGTTTACCATATTAAAATGTATTTGAAATGTTTGCTCATCTTGCGGAACACTCGCAAACCACATTATGCGCATTCCAAGGTTTTACTGTATTTATAAGTAAGATTTCGTCTTAAGGCCGCTGAGGTATCAGCTCAAGGAGGTATGTCAGTCACTGTTAATGGTCAGTTTTCTGCATGGTTGTCACTTGGCACTTTAACCCTGCCCTACATTTTATATCACGCAAGGACTCTAACCTAAGACATGACACAGGAAGGGATAATTGCAGTAGACATGATTCATGTGATAGTTGGTACAAAGTTCAGACTAGTTTAAAGATTCCTGCACGAAGGCAAAAAAATAATGGAAGCCATTAATCTTCCGTCATGGTACCCTAACCAAAAAAGATTCAGGAGGGAAAAAAAAAGAGCTACCTATCATGAACAGATGTGCTGATTATCCAAATACATGAACCATGTCTAGAATTCATGCTGACTTCTGAGCTTAAATATGAGAGACTCCTGAAGCTAATTATCTCCTTTCTTCCCTGTGAAGGGGATTTCTCAGAGCAGAATATTAACTGAGATTTCAACCTGCTCACTCGGAAGATACAGAGGAAAACAGTCAGGTTGGCGAGGGAACAGCCAGCCTAAGGAAAGAACTATGGACTTCTATACTCATTCATTCATTTATTCATTCATTCACTTATGAATGGTCTTGCCCCTTATCTCCCTCCAGCCATGCAAACTCCCACCAGCCACTTCTAACTGCTTATAGTTCCTGAGGGAGCCCACGCTGTCTCACACAGCGTAATGCACCCCTTCATCTGCATGCTCTTCCCCAGTGCCCAACATTAAGACCAAGGAAAACTCTCTCCTTCACAGTGAACCCCTTCCTACTCACCTCCTCTCCACGGAAGGTGGTAAATTAATGAATCAGTACCACTGATCACATAAGTTAGCTCTAAAAGACATGTTAAACCCATTGGAAAACTGGGAGAGATTTTCAGTTCAGCAAAAAAATGCTTTAAAAATGAAATTTGGGGCACCTTCTGCAAGATCCTAAACGAAATCAAATATTAAGGCTTCACAGTCCCTTGGACAGACTCTTTACTTGCTAAAGACTCATCTCTGGTCTTTGTCAACAAGTTGATGAAGAAATGCAAGGAAGCCCACAATTGTTGCTAGAAATTATTGCATCTGTGAAAGCTTTGCTTGGGGCCTGGCAAGGAACTGAATGAGCTAAGTCTCGTTGTTCTAATGATCCGACTCCTGGCAGAGGAATGGAAAGGGAAGGGGGTCTCAGATTCAGGGGTAGGTGGTTAACCCCACTCCCCCCATGCTGGTTCAGCTACAGACTTGGACATGACCTCTCTCTCCTGACCCACTTGTGGCACTGAGGCCTTGCCACCTGCAGCATCACTGCAGTCCAGACCTGTGACTGAGGAGGCAGTCACTCCGTGCTAGACAGTCACCAAAGAGGAGGAGGATGGGATAGAGAATTTTAGAAAACAGTATGCTGTTTTCTGAAGGGTAACCTTCAGAATCATGACGGTGCCAGTTTGTCTTTAGCCCCCTCCCACTTCAGCTCTGCTTCCCTCTCCCCACAAAAACCTAGTTTACCTCTGCTCCCCAGCTTCCCACAAAGAGTCTGTACTCCCCCCCCATCCCCCACATCGCATGGTGCCATCCCTCAAGCAGCCAGATTAAATCAGTCTGTGCCACTATCATTAAATGTTTCTGTTACCTTCCAAGTTGCACTTTTTTTTTTCAATTACAGTTGACATTCAGTCTTATATTAGTTTCTGGTACATAGCATATTGGTTAGACATTCATAGAACTTAAGAAGCGACCCCCCCCCAATAAACCTAGTATCCACCAGCTACTATGCATAGTTATTACATTATTATTGACTATATTCCCTATGCTGTACTTTACATCCCCATGACTATTTCATAACTAGCAATTTGTACTTTCTAATTCCTTTACCTTTTTTACCCCATCCCTCCAAACCCCCTCCCACCTGGCAACCATCAGTTTGTTCTCTGCATCTATGACTCTGTTTCTGTTTTGTTTGTTCATTTATTTGGATTTTTTTTTAGATTCCACATATAAGTGACATCATATGGTATTTGTCTTTCTCTGTCTGACTTATTTCACTTAACATTAATACACTCGAGGTCCATCCATGCTGTTGCAAATGGTAAGATTTCATTCTTTTTTATGGGCACTTCATTTTCATAGGGACTTTCTAGAAATAGAGCTGAGAAGTAAAGAAGTAATCACAGTGAACAACTGAACCCCCTTGCAGTGTAACAACAAAAACAAGACAGGCAGGGCTTTCTGGGACCTGGGAGCCACACCAGCACATCAGCTGCCGTCTCCTCTCGGGAGGGGGCCAGCCCTCCATACACAGCCCTGGGCCAAGGAGAATGCTAAGTTTTCACTCCTCCATGCAAGGCCACGGCATACAGTTGGACAGTGCACAACTAGTACAACCGCCCCCTCATATCAGTCCACCATCTATGGTCCCTAAGTCTTTCCTCTCTACATCCAGAGTACAGCCACCAACAAAGAAAAGATTTCTTGCTTATTTAACCCTACTACAGTAAAGGTAAATACTTGGTGCCTCAAAAGCAATTTGGCTATGGAGACACATTTGTAATCACCAGCAGCTAAAAGAAAGCCGTACGTTGCTCCATGTCTCACAGTCCATAAGATTTTTTTCCTCATTTTTTGCCATAAGAATTTAAGCACAGAAATCAGAGGAGTGGAAGGAGAGAACATTGCAGTGGAGTCCCAGTGCAATATAAAATAATGCAGTGCCTCTTGAAATTCACATACATCGGGATTACCAAAGGTGCTTTTTAAAATGGTAGGTCCCTGACTCTCACCACAGGATGCTGATGCTGTAGGCCTATAATGGAGCCTGGGAATCTGCATTTTTCATTGGCACCCCTGATGCTTGTAAAGCAAGTTATCCATGCATTACTCCTTGAGAAGCATCGAGACAGTCCATGTAAACCACTTAACAGAAAGCCTGGCATATTACAAGTGCTCCATACTTACTAGCTATAATTATTAAGAATCAGTGTGGACTCGTCTTCATATACTCTACTTAGACTTGACCTTTTGCTAAGTGCAAATTGCACATGAGTGTGGCAGTGTGTTAGCAAGCCAGGAACTGGTGTAGTGCAAGGAAAGAGAAATAAGAGGGACACAGGACACAGACAGCTTAATTTATGTCCTTCTAATGATCCGGGAGCCTTTGAAGAAAACTCTTGAGCCTGAATTACCAACCTCCATTCCAGGGTATCAATAGCTCTGAAAACCTAACATAGGAGTATTTGAAACAATTGCGTATGGACAACAAATCTCCAAAGTAAAAACACTCAAAATATTGGCATTTTCATTTTTCTGCCTCAGACACTGAAAGCAATACAAGGTTATTTGTTTTGTAGGGCAAAGGAGGAAACAACTAATTAGGGAGTTTTTAAATGGATGAGTTCATCAACATTAACACAATCTAGAGAAGTCAATCTTGAACCTTATTGGCTGCTGGGCTTCTGTGAGTCTTGGCCATTTTCCTCTGCTGATGATGTGGGCTCTCCACAGGTGGCTGGAGCTAACTGTGTCTACTTACCACTTGGGATCACTCTTCACGATAAATAGGACAGCCCTCCAGGAAACCTTCTATTTAACTTGAATGCTCCTGAGTAGAAGACAAAGCTCTGTTGTTCAAGGGCATAAATAACAAAAGCTTTGTTCTTCCAAACAAAGAGGGAAACTGTAGATCTATCCAAAATCATTTGGTCTTAAACTGTGTATGGATGACAAGAATGAAATATTATTTTAGGCTGCCTAACAGCATCAGTCATTCAATCTCCTTTCCTGGCTTCAGAAAACAATGACTCAATATGGCCTTTTTCTGACAGACTGCAGCCTTAGGAAAATAATTTTCCTGCATTTAAATCAATGGAAGCTATTCAAAGCCCACTTAGCTTTCTCTCTTTGAAGCGTGGGCATAGGAACACAGCTGTTTATACTCATATAATGAAAGGAAAACAGAAACTGTGAATGATAAAAATCAAAGTATTTTCTTACTCCATCCCAGGTGCTTGACATGTGTTTTATTGCTTGATTCCCTCAGTGACCTCTAAAAGGTTGGTATTATTATCCCCGTTTTTACCAAGAGTAAGAGAGGTTAAATAAGTTTTCCTAAGGACGCAGAGTTAAGTGGCTGAGCTGGAAGTTAAATAAGAAATACAAGTAGCCTCAAGCCTCTATGTTAAGATTTGAATGAAAAACCTCACATATTTCTATTAATATAATTTTATAGAAATGTGATCATTTTGTTTTACAATTCTCTTTTTATCACTAAATATTTTTCCACATCACATGTAAAGCTCTGCATCATCATTTTTATTGACTGCACAGGATTCTCTGGAAGGTATTTACCATAATTGACTATGCCAAGTGCCCCAGTGATAAACATTGAAGTTATTTCTAGTTTTCCCTGTAAATATGCTTTCGCAAACATATTTTTACATTTATGTAGTTATTTCCTTAGGGTAAGTCCAAAACTGAAAATTGCAAAGAGACTATTCATTTTACATTTCAGTACATATCACCCACTGCCCTCTGAAATGTTGTATCAGGTAGCTACATGAGTGTGACAATTTCTTCACACTCATAGACAAACCAGGTTTAACCAACCATTTACATTTCTGCCCAAATGATAATGGGAAATGATAGCATTGTTATTTTTATTTGTATTTCTTTCAGCGTTAAGGAAGTTAGACATCTCTTCCTATGTATTGGCCATTTGCAATTCTTCCAGAAATTAATTATCCCTATCCTTTCTCTACTTTTCTATTCAAATCTGACTCCAGAATTCATTGCGAATAACTTTCTCCTGCCTCTTTCTGCTTTCTCATCGTGCTGATGTATCGGAGACTTTGATCTCTAGCCAAGAAAACGTTGGCAACAGATTGCCAGGGTGATTACTCAAGTTCCATAAAACATTTTCTAAAGAGAAAAACTAGTTAAGTCTAAAGAACAGAAAGCCGTAAACTTCTCTTTGGTTGTCTGTTTCAGAAATCGGTCATCATCCCCTGACTTTATCAGCAGTTGTTTTTCTTATAAGAAACAATGATCCATTCAAACTTAATCTTGTTCTTTTGCACGGAGACATTGGATAACTGAAGAGGGGGGGCCAAGAAGAGTTCGGAGGAACATCCCCAGAACCTGGGGCTGGAATAGAGGGAGGTCATAAGGATGGAGACACACACACACACACACACACACACACACACACACACACACACACACACACACTTCTGTGTGCCCCAGGCAGAGACAGACCACAGGCTCACAGAGTATTTGTGCCAAGACCCAGGTTAGAGATGTTCTCACTCCAAGGAAACTGAGACCCACAGACATAAAGTGACTTGGTGAAATCAGCTGACAAGTGATAGTCCACTGGCTTCCTGCGCAGACCTCATTCCATTGGACAACACTGAAGAAGTCAAGCACAGCCCACTTTGAATCCCCAGAGCTTAAGACACTAATTCTGCCTCGCCCAGTGCCCAGATTATGTTGAAAGGCGCTATGGCAAAAGCACCCTCAAGCTTGGCCCAGGGACTTACACCCAGGGAGGCTGAACCACACGCATGGCCAGCATCTTGGCTGCTAGCATTGGACATCATTCTGACTGGCTGTGGCCGGATAGCTACAGGGATAATGTGAGGCTGCTCTCTCGTTCCTCTACTTCAGAAAGAAAATGACCAAATCCAAACAGCAAAACGGGGCTGATGTGCAGCTTTTGTGGTAGCCAACTTTTTTTTTTTTTTACAAATATCACGTGTATATTTAGTTTTGTTTGTTAATTGCTGTCTGTTCAGATTCAGCCAAATCCAGGCGCTGAGTCAAAGACAACCAAGAATGGCCATGTAGTGGTTCTGTCCTCCCAAATGTATGTATTGAGTTATGCCTTAGCCCAGCAGGGACCCAAATGTAGACAAAATGTCTGACAGGAGAACTGGATGAGGGCCGCTTGATCCCATCTCACCTGCGGAAAAACGCATGGGTCAGTGGCCCCACATTCACTCCCCTGAGGTGACCATACAAGTAGCCAGCCAACTAAGCAGTGGTATTAGCCCCTTCTCGATAGTACTCACGCTGGTCCCTTCTTGAAGCTCTTACCAAACCTAAATGAAGGCTATATTCCACCCAACACAGATCCTTGGTGAGGCCTAGAAAGGCAGCCTCCTCCATCTTTTCACAATTCAAAAGCATTTTTCTTAACTCTTTAGATATCATGTGGTCTAACAGAATAAATAATTCACATTGAGACTTAAAGAACAATTGGGTAGCAGACTTGGGAAAATGGCCTACGATTCAGTAATGATGATTTTTTGTGTGTGTGCCAGGAGACACACATGCATTATGCTATTTAATACTCACAATTACTTTCTAAGGAAGGTAATTTTATCTGCACTTGATACATAAGAAAACAGAAAATGAAAAATAAGAGATAACTCATTTCTGGACTCAGCTGCTGCTTCTACAGAATTTCCTGGACTTTCATTGTGACTTTGAGCAGTTAAAGACCAAGGGAAATGAATGAAGGGGTCTGTCTCAAATGTTAACCTGTCTTGAAGGTTCATTTCTGGCTGCTGGACCGACTGGCTCCCCTCAGCCTCCACCCTGGAGAAAGAAAAGTGATCTCATGCTTGTGGCTCTCCTTGGGAATAGGCTGTTTCCCACAAAAGAAAATTCTTTCCAAAACTTAGCGCTTATTTTAGGAGAGTTGTGTGGATTCCCAGCCATCTTCACACAGGAAGTCTAGTACTCCTGAATCAAGGATAGATTCTTCAAGTAAATCTCAGCAACCCTTTTGGTCATTAAAGACTCGAAAAATAAACAAAGAACCAGATGCGGGGAGTTATATTGGTCCAGAATATTTGTAAACATGTGAATTTTCAGCTGAGATTTGCTAGCCCCTATGGTATATTTCTCTCTTCTCCTTTCAAGTTTTCCTATAAACTCCCATGGTTCCTGGAGTGTTTATTTGCTGGCTCTGAAGGTTGGACTACATGCAATCAGTTTTTGTTTCTTGAAACATCCATTTCATTTAATTAACATATTTGCTTCTTGTCTTCTTTTCCCCAGAAAATGAATCCAAAAGAAACGAATACCTTCTTCCCAGGATGTAAGTGACTCCGTTTAGAAATAATTAAGGTTTACCTTACACAATACTACATTAAGAAAAATACCTAATTCCATAGATTATCCAAAACGATATCAGACTCAGTACTAAGCACCTACAAAGAACTCAGTAAATACATGCTAACTAATTTATATTCATTAGGATAATAATGGTGATAATAACATGCATTTCTAAGGAATGTTTGCTTTTTTTCAAAATACTTTCACAAATACTTTAAATAAACCTCTAAACCCCATGGACGACTGAGAAGGGGCTTTGCGAACATATATATGAAGGTTTATACCCTGGCTTAGCCACTCGTTAGCCATGTGACCTTGGGCAGGTTACTGAAGGGATCTGAACATCTGCTTTCTCAATTGTAAAACCTAAATGATCATTATTCCTGCCTTGCAGAGTGGATGAGGGACATAAAGATAGCACATGCCAGAGGCACAGCGGAGTACCTGACACAAGGCAAGCACTTAGAAATGGAAATTTTTGTTATTATAGAGAAGGACTGATATAATTATCCCCTCTGACAACTGAGGCAGCCGAGGCTAAGAGACATTAAACGAGCTGACAAGTCACTACAGCCAGTCAAGGCCAGAGCTAGGACCAGAACCCAGGCTTCCAACCCACCCAAGGAAAGAGTTTTCTGCTCTATTTCAAAACCGAAGTGTGAAAAGTAGAATTATTGCCAAAACAGGGGCGTTGAATGCTGAATCTTGAAAACAGTTGATCCATGCTTTCAGGAGCAAATAAGGCAATTAAAATAAAACTCTGCCTCCTTGCTAGTGTTGTCAACAGGAAGCAGATTTAATTCAGAAGAACCTCTCTTATTTTGACCCAGGCAAAACTTTCTAAGGATTTGATGAGTTTTTATCTTGACCATCACTTGTATCTTTCTTCCAACCTGCTTTCCAACATTCAGTAATCTTGACATTTTGGTGTGGGTCACCTGCCCTTCATCTAGTAAATGTAATTTTTGCAGAAAAACAGACCCAAAAGTAAGAGAAGGTTGCCATCGCAGCAATGCTGTAGAGGACACCTCGTTAAAATGTCATTTAAAATACGTAGCTCATCCCTCCAAAGCAGGAATAAAGGCCTTTTTAGGACCTCTGATACATGCCAGGCAGAACTTTTTTTATCTTCATTTTCTCAGTTCTAGAACATAGTTGAGATGTCTTCTTCTTGGAACTGCTTTATAATAAGTTACTACATATAGCATTATTGACAATAATTTGAGATCTGCCTCCTAAGGTTAGGAAATTTTCAGAACCTTAGAATAAGAACAAAAAATCGATGATGTTCTCTGCAGCAAGCCTCAGTGAGCTTCTGTGAAATCATTAAAATAAGCTACTAAAGTTGAGTAGCACTCACGCCTCCATATCTTTTTGATGATATAGACTATCTGGAGTACAGATAGTCATACTAGTATCAGTATAAACCCTACGGAATGAAAATGGGAAAAAAATAGAGTTAGAGAACCCAGGACACTCCCTCCCCCATTACCTGGTAGAAAACAAGCGAACACATGTCATGATCTATAGACAGGATATTCTACCTACTAAAAGAACCCCAACATTGTAAATATTTATTTGACACCCTGCTCGGTGTGTAATTTGCCAACTGTTCCAAGTTGTGAGTAAATTCTTTTTCCATGTCTTTATTCTTGGCTTTATTTACTTTGTCTTTCTTTTGTCATTTTGCTTTTTATTCTCTGTATTGCTTCATTATTCCTTGAATTTGTTTTTATATATTCCTTCACTTATCCCATGTTCTTAATAATATGAAAGTGCTTCCAAAAGAATCAAGTGCTATAAAAATGTAAAGTTGTTGTGTCATTATTAGTCCTATCATCTTTATAATTTTTGTCAAGACATTATTAAATATCTTTTGCATTCTTACTATTGTACCTATAACTTGTTCCTCCGGTTTTTATCTTATCTGATATTCTATGAATTTTTCAGAATATCACACATTAAGTATTAATAATAGGAGCAAAGTTGAATATCTTAATATTAAGTGGGGGTTTTTTTTTGGGGGGGGGCAGTGTGTTGTTGTTTTTTTTAACTCTGGAAGTTTCCAGTGAGTTAGGCAACATTCATTAAACCACATCTGCAGCCACAATCATTGCACCAAAACTATAGAGGAAATTCCAAAGATAAGAAAGACATGTTACTTGACCTTAGTAAGCTGAAAGCCTAGTCAGAGTGACAAGCCACACAATGAGCAACTCAAGGGGACATCTATCACATGTGCATAACTAGAGTTTGAGTTAGCCAGATAGAAGTGACCATGTAAGGTTTTCTGAAGGTCAATTTCAAAACGGAGAAGAAGGACATGAAGTCTAGGGAAACAAGGACATCCTATCTGACCCACCATGTTATTAAATCCTTTTCTATAGCCCTTTACAGTCTCCAACGGGACTACCTCATTTCCTGATCCCTTTCCTATTTCTGCTCTGAATATATTATCAAAAGCTGCTTTGGGACTTAAGAAAGCTCTAATATGTCTTACTTTATACAGTTTTCTGGTGTGTGTGTGTGTGTGTGTGTTACTTCCATGATCCTGCACATTGCTTTTGTACAACTACAGCCTGCTTCTCTAGGTCTTTCAAGTTTTCAGGTCTTTTTCAGTATTTATTTTTAGCGTGACATGTAAAAGCCAACATTTTTTTAAAAGCAGTTCTGTGGCATCTGCTGTTTGAGGTATGTTGTGTAGCACAGCAGCCTGGTGACTTTATTCCAGCCCTCAACAATGCTCTTAGATTGTCCCTCAGTTTTGTTCTCTCTGCAAAAAAGATCAAGTTACAAAACAGCCTCCTCCACACTGAAATGGGGACGCCAAACCAAAATGATCTAAATTTAGTCTGAATCTGTTAGATAGGTGATCAATTTCAACAAGCTCCAAGCCTGGAATGTAATTGTTTCCACCATCTTTTCCCACAGGTTGCACCTTCTTCTTCAAATTTATCGGACATGAAAGTTGATGCAGTGACTTTTACTTTAAAATAAAAAATCAGCAGGGTAAAAAAAGCAGGGAGGGATGCTTTTAAACAAGAAGCCAGACCTCCAATACTACAAGCATATCTGTCTAATTGTGTTCTTAATAACAGGTAGGGTTTGAAACATGGGCTGCCAGCAGGAAAGCTTCGCTAAACTGGCCCTCCCCACACAGAAGCATACAATGCATCACCTGTCTGCTGTAGGAAACATGCATTTTGTTCCAAAACAAGGGATATAATGTAAAATTCAAATGTCTAAATGGAATTAATATAAATCTTATATTTGTTCAAAAGTGTGCTTGATTGATTGTCCCTGAAAGCTAGCATTTCTTGTGAAGGGGGAGCTTGAAAACCGGGAGGAGAAAAAGGGAGAAAGCCCGGTAAGACGGGGGACTGAGCAAGTAGGAAAAAAGATCAACTTTTTCACATTATTTATAAATAAGGCCAATCATGGCATAGGCCACTTATGGCACTAACATTAATGATCACCCTCCGTGCACAACAGGGATCTTGTACAATTCCATGCTGTTTTGGCCCTTTAGGAACCTTATACAATTGGCATGCTTGTTTCCAATAAAAAAAATTCAATAAAATTCAATTTTCCCCCTTGTGACTTTGGACTTAAAAAACAATAACATTGGGGTGAAGCATTTGTCTCATTGGTTATTTCTTTCTCTACCCAGCTCAGTCTTTTGAATGTAGAGTGAAGAGCTCTCAACCACAGGAAGCATATCAAGGTACCTTTTCCTCCACTAGGAGACACAGAGTTGAGAACTCTATAATACAGCCATAGGTGTTTGCACACTGCAAGCCACTGTCACGTTTGCCTGGTTCTTTTCATCATAGGCTTGATTTATCAGGCAGGTTGTCAAGCGTCCTGGGTCTACCCTGGAACCAATTTCAAAGCCAAACCTTAGCTTTATGGAAATAAACACAGCACTTCCATTACAAATATCTACTTCAAATTCCAATTTACACGTAGAAATGTTCATCCTATAAATCCTACCCTTGATTTTTGACTCAAAGAGACTTCCGATTTGGTCCTTAGCTCCTTCCTCATTGTATCATTTTAATTCAGTCCTGCATGCCCACATATATAAATCCAGTTCTACCATCTTGTCTAATATATGTATCTCTTTGCTAATTGGCAGGCTTTGGGAGAGATTGGAAGTCTCCCTGCCTGGCTCAGAAACAGCCTGGCAGCAGCTGGAAGCCCACAGAGCCAACCCAATTTGCATCACCTTCATCAAAGCTTTCAAAGTATGGACACCAGCCGGCTGGTTCCACAGTGAATTAGGGCACCTCCCTTCCTATGCACACAGTCTGAGCCCAGGTGTCAAGCTCTGAAAGGCCTCTAAGCAGAGATAGGCCAACAGGTTGTCAGCATTATTCGAGTGCCTGCTTCTGTGGAGTAGAAAAGAAATGACACTATTCCTGACATGGAAGAACAGAACATGTATTCACACTCATATGTACATACTCTTGCACATACATGCACACACACATACACACTTTCTCCTGATATAGTGGGGAAATACTTGTAAAATCCCCAAACAAATAAAACACTTTTAATAAACACAAAAGTGTTACCAAGGTTCTGAGGTTTGAAAGAGAGGATTCCATGAAGTGTTTCTTCTACCTTCCAAAATAAAAAATCAG